AGTGATGGTTAGTTCCTTGCCAGCTGCAACTAAGTCAGTCCCCCCACAATGTGGTCCACGGAACACCAGTCTTGTATATATGCCTTATAAGTGAGATTACTCTGCACACTGTAGCTGTCTCTCTGGAACTTCACAAGGCCCATTTGTGTGATAAAGGCCCTGAGAAGTTCTACAGTAAAGACACTCAGCTTTTTGCTAATGTACTTGTTTGCAGAACACCAGGAGTTCCGAAGAATAACCTCATCATTCAGGAGAAGCAAAAGGCAGTTACCCGAGGAGCCCCCCGCTCCCCAACATCTGCACCTGTGAGTCTGCTTTGGTTCCTCTTATTCCCCCATTACTAGTTTCTTCTGGATTAGAAATAAAGGCAGCTAAATGGTTCACTGGAATCAGAGGCAGTAACACTTGGCTAATGTCAGGCCTGTTACCCAGTAGATACCTCACACCATCCTCACCTCCTACGTGACATCCACACCTAGAATAAATTGAGGAGAGCAAAGACAAGAGAGCCCAGGTTCTCTCAGAAGCTGCCAGATGGGGGAGCTCTCGGCATCCCATGAGAGAAACACGTCACAGGGTGCTGCAGGCTCAGGAATTGGGAGAGCATTGCTCTTTTGCCTTTTGTAGAGAAAAAACTGTTGAGGGAGACTTCCCTGGTGGCGCAGTGGTTAAGAATCCACCTGCCAATGCAGGGGACACAGGTTCGATCCCTGGTCCAGGAAGATCACTCATGCTGTGGAGCAACTAAGCCTGTGCGCCACAACTACTGAGCCTGCGCTCTACAGCCCGCAAACCACAACTACTGAGCCCATGTGCCACAACTCCTGAAGCCCGCGTACCTAGAGCCTGTGCTCTGCAACAAGAGAAGCCACCGCAAGGAGAAGCCTGCTCACCGCAACTAGAGAAAGCCCATGTGTAGCAACAAAGACCCAATGCAGCCAAAAAATAAAGAAAGAAAATTTAAAAAAAAATAGAAAAAACTGTTGAGAAAAAAACATCCAACTCTATACCTCACACTGAGGAGAAAAGGAAAAAAATGAAACTTGCTCATTCTGACACTTGGGAGAAAAGTATCATCTTAGAAGGAAGTAATCACCAGTGTTGTTTTGCCATGTTTAACAGATTTTTATTCTATCAAGGGGTGAGGGATACAGACGGAACATACCCACTTACCCTCGAATTAAAGAAGCAAGAAATGTGGGAAAGCTTCTTGTAGATATTATCTGGGAGGCAATGAGAAGATCTTTCTGTCCCCAATACATTTCTTAACATAACTTACTAATACCCCAAATTCCACAATTAGAGATTCACTCCTTTGAATTAGGTCGGTTGTTCTCAATGAAGGATGATTCTCCAAAAGATTGCTGTCTCACCCCCAGAGTTTGATTCAATAGAACCAGAGAATCACACATCCAACAAGGTCCTCAGGCACGCTGATGCTGTGGTTCAGGGACTCCACTTTGAGAATTACTGGTTACAAGGCCTGAATGAGATAATGCATGTACAGAGGTAACTAGCAGTATAATGCCTGGCATATATAAGCCTGCCACACTCAGTGGGTCTCAAACTTGGCTGCACGTTAGAATCTCCTCGGGATCTTGTAAAAATTCCAGTGTCCTGTCTGCACCCCAGACCAGTCAGATCAGGGTCCCAGACATCACTGCTTTTTGAAGCTCCCAGGTGATTCCACTGTGCAGCCAGGGTTCAGCTGCACGGCAGTAATGGTACCTTAGAGTCACTTGCATTCATCGAATCCTCTCTGATTTCTAATAGCCACTGAGAGGGAAGCCAACGGGAAAGGCTCGGGTGTACCAGCACCACAATTGGGCCAGTGCTGCTTCTGGAAGGACACGCTGGGCCTAGATGAGCAGGCCAGGGGAACCATGCAGCTCCAGTGATTCCAAACTGGCCTCTAAGACCTTTGCTCCTACCTTGTCACTGATGGTCTCCACTCCTCTCCCAACCTTCTGTGTAGAGTCCCAAGGGTCTCCTCTCCAGCACTCACCCGCTCACTTCTCTGCATGGTCGACAGCCCCATCCCCTCCTCCAACTGCAGTGCTGTCCTCAGAAAAGCCCCTCCAAGGCACTGTCCTAGCCAGCAGCTAGCCAGGTGTCGGTTCTCAGAGCCCAGTCTTTCTACCCCCTGGAGAGCGAGGGCATCAGGCCACATCTTCTCTATCCCCATGCACTCGGTGTGTTTTGGCCCTCACCAGTCCTCATCTAATGTCTACAATTCCTCCTACACCGATTCCCCCCACCTCGAGGAACCCTCACCTCCCTTCCTGTCTGCCACCGACTCTGCCAAGGGGCAGTCCCACTAAAATACACAGCCCCTGCTCTCACTCCCTCTCAGGCAAACCTTCCCACCGGGTCTACCCTTTCCTTCCAGCCACACTGGCATCTGTACCCGCAGCCCCTCGTATCTGGGCTGCCCCAGGGACTCTCATGCCTTTTGACCCCTGCCCAGCCCTCTCAGCTCACCTGGCCCCTCCCAGGAAGAGATCCCAGAAGCTGTACTCCCCACCCTAAAGGCCCAGTTATGAGAAAGGCTGTTACTATAAGTACTGGGTCATCGTAATGATCGGTTTGTCTCTCCAACTAGAGAGGAGAAAAGGGGAAATCTTCACTGATAACAAGAACTAATCTATCATTTCCATTATTTGTTTTTCAGCCTTGCAGAAACAAAAATGAGAAAACGACCTCTGCTCCAAAGAACTCGCATCCAATTGATCTGAGCTTCCAAAAATGTCACCACGATCTTGGGTCTAAACCTAACTAAAAATCAGAACTAATAGCCTGAGAAAGATTTCTTTCAGTTATATGACTATTTGTTTGGAAACTTACAAAAGCTCTAAAAATTAAAGCAGATTTTGTTACACATTTACCATACTGCCTTTCCAAAGCAAGAAAAGTAATACAGGCACAGAAATAGAAGACTGAGCAAATCATACCAATGCCCTTATCTGTTTGAGTATTGAGATCAGGACTGTTCTAGCACCAACCCCCCAAAATGGTTAGAGTCATAGTGACCCATCCCTGAGGTGGGAGACCCATGACAAGGGACTGCTTCACTCCCACCAGTCACCACAGAGATGCTGTTGCTGCAGAAACCTCCAGCCACATCTAAAACAGGTGGCCACACAGTGTCCCTGACCTCCGCTTCCCTTCTCTCCCGGCTCTTCCTCCACTCCCCTCCCGGGGAGAGCAGCCCCATCCATGTGGCCTCCAGGCCCCTGCAGGTTGCCCAAGCAGCTGCCATTTCCTCTTCATCCCCTGCCCCACCTATCCTTCCCACAGCGCCAGATTCCTTCTGCAGGTTTCCTGTGGAGCCCTGTATTTTTGTGGGTTTGGGAGGTCACGCGGTGGGGGTGGGTGGGGGGAGTGGAGAGAAAGGAAGAGCTTTATTATCTGAGCCACACCTCCCCATCATCTGTTATCCTACGAGCCAGAGCAAAGGAGAGCGTCCCTGAGTGACCTGGTCACCCTGTGGGCTCCACGCCTCTGGACAGTGGACCCCAGCCCTCCCTGCTTCTCACCCCTACTTGCTGCACTATACCCTTCTTTCCAAATATTAAATTCAGCCTTGAAATGGAGACCCAGCGGGATTTAAAATAACCCCCGAGCTCTAACAAAAGAAGATGGGAACTGCTGTTGATGGTTGGCCCACCAAGCTTCACAGGGGATCATCACAGATGATAATCCCAAGAGCCCCTTGCGAAGAAACCACTGCTGGCTGCTGTCCTGCAGGGCACAGCAGCGACGGGGACTATGGAACATGAAGACTTGACCTGCCGCGGTCCCGTCCCTAACTTCCCAAGCACAGGGTCTTTGGCCTGCTGTCCCCCAAGGTGGTACATGCAAAGGTGGAAACTGAGCAGAATCCTAGAGAAAAGGGAAAAGGATTTCACGTTTTGCTGAGGACAAGTCCCCAGATGGATCGGGGAGTCGGGTGAATGAGAAAATGACTAGCAGTTGCAAACACTGGGGTCACAGTAGCCTGAGACACACTGTTCTCATTCAGTGGTGTGTGTAGTGCTCTTTTTTGACCCAAGGCTTTTTTGAGAATGAACAATCACAGAGCGGGCAACAGCGACACCTGCTGTTTGCAACAGATTCAAGCCTGGTAAAAAGAAACCAAGACTCGGGGTCTGTCATGATCTTTCTATTTGTTGTTTGGGGATTTCTGATTTACCTGGTACCGTTATGGAAGCTATTGTTGTAGTTAACAACATATTTTGATCAGTAGTTTTCACAACATTCTTGGAACAGCAGGGAACATAATATAGCCAAGGCACGATATTCGAACAATATTAAACTCTTCATTGCACTGTAAATGGACTCTTCCTAACACTATAAGGTGCGGTACCCTCAATAAATACAACTGATATGAACGATAACAGGGCACTGTTATGGTCTGAATCGTGTCCTCTAAAAAGATGTTGAAGTCCTAACCCCAGTAACTGTGAACGTGACCTGAAATGAAAAATAGGATCTTTGCAGATACTCAAGTTAATGAGGTCATTAGGATGGGCCCTAATCCAAAACGGCTAGTGTCCTTGTAAGAAGGGGAAATTTGGACACAGGGACAGCCATGAGCACAGGGATGACATCACTTGAAGATGACGGTCAAGATCAGGGTGTTGCATCTACAAGCAAGACATGACAAAGATTGCCAGCAAACCACTAGAAGTTTGGAGGAAGGCGTGAAACAGATTCTTTCAGGAAGAAGCCAATCCTGCTGCCACTTCAGTCTCAGACTTCTCACCTTCAGAACCTTGAGACAAATTTCTGTTGCTCTAAGCCATACAGTTTGGGAGACTTTGTTATGGCAGCCCTAGAAAACTGATACAGCCACTCATTATAATTTGAAGAGTCTGCTTACATTGTAGCCTCAACTGGGTAGATGCATTTGTGATATAACCAAAGAACTCAAGTGGGTTCTAACCCCACTTACCAGTTGTGTGGCTTTAAAGCTCAAAGATGCTGAGCAGGTTACTCACCCAGTTGCCTTGTCTAGAAAATGGGACCACCAGTAACTTCCTTGGAGCTGATATGTATCCTTGATGAGCTCACGCACATGACTGTGGCCTATTAATTGGAAAGGGTGACAATTATACATGGTTGTCACAAGAAGTGTTACTATGCCTCCATCTAACCCCAGCCAGCTCTGCCCAGAATAAGGCCACTTATGTGCCCCTACAACCAACTTTGGCTATGCCTTTGGAGGTTAACCTGTAGGGAATCAATTAATGCCCCCTTCTCTTTTGCTGTCAGTTGGGACTGGACAAAGGGAGGCACCAGCAGTTGACCAGATGGCAAGAGAACAGAGATGCTAAGGCTTTTATACCCCTGGCGCCCTCCCCGTTGGGTCACCAGGAGCTGACTGTGTCATCTGTGGAAGGCTTCGGCGACTGTCAGGCAACTATCTCTCTACAGCTACCCTCTCAGGGTTCCAGAAATTCTGGCCTCTCCTTGTCCCTTCAGGCTTAGGAGGCAACAGATCCCTGTAGGGCTCTGCACTAAACATGACCCATTTGCTTGTATTCCACGTATACCTTGGTAAATAATCCCTTTAGTAAAGGCTCCTCAAAGTATCCAGTTTGAGTATGCCATCTTTGGCCTGCCAGGACTCTAACTGACTCAGGAATTAGTTTAGAAAGTGGCCTTAGGAAACAAAAGCCTCAAAATGCATTTGTGAGAATGTTTTGCTCATGTATTTGAGGACTTCATGGACCAACTCCTTTCTTGTTGGAAATGGAACACAGGTAATTCATGACATGAAGTAGCATCATGATCACCCCACTATTCACCAGTGGTTGCGTAGGATAAACTACAGGTGGAGTGTAAGACACGGGGAATGTGTAATACATCCAATTTTATCTCAACAAAACTGGAAAAAAATAGACACAATCATTTGCAGTTCCTCTTACCAAGAGCTAGACTTTATTTCTCCACCCGATTCTGGCCTTAGCCATCTTTTTCCTGTTGGCTGTTGGGATATTAACAAATGTGACACAAGCAGAAGCTGCAGAAGTGCTTGTGCATTTCTGCATTTATAGCTTGCCTTTCTCTTGCTGCTCCTGGGCAGCCTTAGGCCACCATGTGCGGACACCCAGGCTGGCCTCCTGGAGGATGAGGCCCCATGAACAGAGACCTTAGCTATCCCTGTCATCTCCAACATCCCAGCTGAGGCCCCAGTCATGCCATTCTCGACCACCCAGCACCAGTCGAGTGGCTCAGACCTGAGAAGAGTGACCAACTGACCCACAGAATTGTGAGCAAATAAAACGATCATTTTCTTATACCATTCTGTTTTGGGGTGGTTTGTTACACTTCAAAGGCTAACTGAAAAATAGTAATTATAGAGATTGTAGGGTCCACTGACTTATTCTAATGGAACAAGAGAGAGTGTAGAGAAACAGGAGAAAGTGAAGGCCAGGAATGCACAACTAAGACCAGAAGTGGAAAGTCGGTAGCCTGTAGGGCAGCTCTGAAGGAATCCTGCGTCTCCTGTAATCCCAGGGAAACGTAGCTGGGGCCCAAGCCCGACACCTGGCTGTCAGGGCTACAAAACTGCAACCAACAAGTAAATATTCAAACCCACGCGTCTCTCAAACTAAGACAGCTTCAAAGTGTAGTCCCCACGCCAGCAGCAACAATGTCAGCTGGGGACTTGTTAGAAATGCAAATTCTGAGCTCCACCAAAAGCCTAACGAATCAGACTTCTAGGGGTGAGGCCCAGCTGCCGAGGATTACCAAGTCCTCCAGGTGATTCTGCTGCAGGTTACAATTTGAGAGCCACGGCACTAAAGGCAATCTCTGACGGGAAAGGAGTGGGACTCCGAGATGGGGTATTTGGGCAGACATGGATGAAGCTGAGAATTCTGAACCCCCCATGGCCCCTAAAATCTGCGTCCCTCTCCCATCCAAGGATGCTACCTACACCTGCAGAAAAACTTTCAAGGACTACCAGGATGAGCCTCCAGGCCTACAAGAAGATTTAGATCTCAGTGTAGCCCAGATAAGCCCTAGGCCTGCTCTGACCTCATCAACCGGTGGGGCAGGAGCCTAGGGAGTGTGTATGAGAATGAGTTCTAAGGTTGATAGATGAAAGAGAATGAAATCTAAGCAGTGGCACGCGGGAGCCGGCTTGAGAGGGCCAATGGTTAAATTTTCAAGAATTTTATGAGATCCTTGTTAGACATAGCCCTTTTTAAAACTTAAATCATATAAACTTACGGTTAGGTATATTAAGGATAAAGGTAATACTCAAAACTCATCACTTCTATTTATCTTCACTACACCGTACAATGATCTATGCTCTTGAGGTTATTTGCCTCTACTGTGTCTCTATAATGGAAACACTGCGTAACGGTGGGCTGCTCTGCATCTCTTCCCAAACCTGCGTTCAGTAACAAGCTGTTCACAGCTTGAAGTGAGCGGTCGGGAGAATATTTACAACCTGGAAATTGGCGAACGCTTAAGTCAGGATTTTCTCCCTAGCTTGCTGCTTGTAAAACATTTACCAGCCTACCCCTCACCTGATAAAGGCTAAATTAATTTTTGTGGCCGTGCTGGTGTGAGACTCAGGATGCAATATGTTTGCTCCGGAACCTGGGAGTGACATAAGTTGAAACTTGGGTTCAGTGGTGGCTGAGATCATTTCCTTTCACTGCTGTGGTAAATTGCCACACACTTGGTGGTGTAATATCAAGAGTATAAAGTGTGCTCTGGGACTCATTAAGCTTGGGAGGTCACAAGTCCAAGATGGGTCTCACTAGGCTAAAATCAAGGTGTTAGCAGGGCTGCATTCCTTTCTGGGGGCTCTAGAGAGAATCTGTTTTCTTACCACTTCCAGATGCCCCGCATTTCTTGGCTTCAGCCCCCTTCCTCCATCTACCAAGCCAGCGTCTGCAGGTTGAATCCTCCTTGAGGGGCTGTTTCTCACACTGACTCTCCTGCTTTTCTCTTCTCCGTTTAATGAGGCTCGTGATTACATTGGGACCACCTGGCTGACCCAGGCTCCTCTCCTTATCTGAAGGTCAGCTGATAAGCCCCTTAATCCCATCTGCGAGTCTCCTGCCTTCCACAGTGACCTCCAGTCAGAGGGAACCATCAGAACCTCCCGGCAAAGCCTCCGGGAGATGGGAACAGCAGAAGCAATCTACAGGCAGACCTCATTTTATTGCACTTCGCATAGTGCCTTTTTCACAAATTGAAGGTCTGTGGCAACCCTGAGTCAAGCAAGTCTATCGGCACCGTTTTTACAAAAGCATTTGCTCACTTTGTGTCTATGTGTCACATTTTGGTAGTTCTCCCAATATTTCATATTTTTTCATTATTATTATATTTGCTATGGTGATCTGTGATCAGTGATCTTTGATGTTACTAGTACAGAAATATTATGACTTGCTGAAGGTTCAGACTTTTTAGCAATAAGGTATTTTTAAATTAAGGTACATACATTACTTTTTAGACATGTGCTATTGCACACTTAATAGACTATAGTAGAGTATAAACATAGCTCTTATATGCTCTGGGAAACCAAAAAATTCATGTGACTCACTTTATTGTGATACCGCTCTGATGCAGTGATCTGGAACTGATCCCGCAACATCTCCGAGGTCTACCTGTACTACATATGTGTGACCTGCTCAGACTCCCTCACCCCACTTCAACCACACATACACCACACACATGCACACACATACACCCAATCGCGCCCCACTGGTAGATCTTGGAGCACTCTCCACACACAAAAGCATTGCAAAGTGTGTGAGAGGGGCAACTGCACAGAGCTCTATGACAAGCTCGTGGTGGCTGTCTTCTGCAAGTAGAAGATGACCTGACGGCGCTGCCTGGAATTAGAGTCCCTGAGCTCAAGGAGAATAACAATCAGCACCACTGATCCGATACACAAGGTGGGTATAATTACCACAATACACCAGCCACAAGAGCAGAATGGTACCACAGGGATTTGTGGCTACGGTTAATTGATTTTGGTACCCTTAGAAATGAAATCATTGGGTAGCCTACTAAGATGCTGCTGGACATATATAGGCAGAAGAAAATGTGGACTGGGGGGCACAAACCTAACTCAAATTATCCTAGGGGAATGGGTGACCTCTTTCCCAGTTCCAGACCCGGAGCCCTCAGATGAATCTCCAAGCATAGAGTATAATGCAGCCACAGAGTATAATAAGAATTTTCTTCCAAAGCTTTCCCAGAACAAACTGTGGCCATTTACCCTGATAACTGGGACTGGAGAAAGGGAAATATACAAACCTCCCAGGAGTTATTAGATATTTGCTCTGAATTGACATGAATCCCCAGAGACCTGCCTGAGATATCACCAAGGACCACCACTCAGAATGGGAGCTTATGGAGGTCAGGTGATGGATTGTGTGTCCTGGCCCAAGTCCCTCTCACAGTAGGGCCAACATGGACACTTGTGTGGTTATTTTCTCATTCTCAGGATGTATAAAATGAAAAACATAAACCTGGCAACTGGCAGAACGCTCACATTGGCTCCCTGGTCTATGGAGTAGAGGCCATTATGGCTGGAAGGGCCCGAATGAATCCCCTGTAATCCCTGAGAATTGTCAAGTTTAGTCCTGAGATCAATGACTTGAAAGATGCAGAGGTGGAGATTTCTATTGCACCCTCATCTTGCTTGGCTGGTGTAAATTCTTGATGGGTCCTAGAGAATGGCTTAATTTTCACGAATTAGGTACTTTTGGATTTTTAATATGAATTCTTGGTTTCCTTGGGGGAAAGAAAAGTTTTTCAAAGGAAGACCTAAAACTCAGAATCCATCATGACAAAGATGGATCAATTTGAATATATAAAGGTTAAAATTTTCTGTATGAAAGAATTAGGTGAAAAGATAAAATAACTAGAAAAAAAAAAGGTATTTGCCACCCAGATAACAAAGGACTCATTTACTTAACATACAGTGAACGCTTGCAAATTACTTAAGGAAACCTGCAATCCAGTAGAAAATTGGGAAAGAAGTACAAATAGAAAAAGAAATCCCAAAGGCTCATAATTAAATAGTTAGAATTACAACAGTGAGAAACCATTC